TCTGCGTCGTCTTCAAAACCCACACCGGCTACATATTGCATTTACATTTGAGGGCTGTTATTTGCCATGTGTCAGCCTCCCTCCATAAATAGGCACGCATTGGAACCTGTTCCATTTCTAAAGGTGGAGTGCGTCGGGTGTGCTTCTGCAAGGACAGTGTTTGAGTAGGGTTGAACAGCATGCCTGGGAAAATTAATCCTATTTTGACAGAAATCTCTTTTCCCCATGTGTTACCTAACTGGTCTGGTTCTTAGGTTGCTGCACGTCTCCTCTAACTCTTTTTTTTCCTAGGTGCATCAACACCAACACCCACAATTCCCTTGCCAGGCACTACAACACAGCCTTCCCACACAACATCACCCACAACAACAACACCCAGCTCAGGTACTGCTGTTTCCCATCTTGTTCCCTTACTGGCTCTCAGAAGTTCCCTATTTTCTGAATCCAGGTCTCAGAGCTAAGTGACAGGGTTTTTATATTGGAGGGTCAGAGTTTTTCCTTACTTCCCCTGTTACACTTGCAGAATGTTATGTCTGGAACTCCTGAATTCTGACTATGTACATCCTCCTGTAGGTCTCTTTTGCCACAATGCTGGGCATTTCGGTAAGAGTAGACCAGCCATCTAATAATTATCTCACGTACTTTTTTTTCCATGTCCATAAATATTTAAATTACTCTTTTCCATGGCAAGTTTTCACCTATTATGCAGATGTAATTTTTTGTATATTTTGAAGTGTAATCTGGTTTCCAAATTTTATTTTTGGGGTGTGATATAATCCAATTGTATTTTTCTGTCAAAAACTGATTAGGTGCTATTAGTGTTAGTTTAATATTTAGGATATATACTAAAATACTCTTTTAGATAAATTTTTACTGCTTCTTTCCTCCAGTTTTAAATACTAATGTCTACATATGTCAGGTTGTTAAATACAAGAGAGTTCTAGCTCACTTAATCAGTTTAGATTTCTTCTGCTTTTTTTTTTTTGAATTGTTAAGTATGTCATTCTGGGAGAATTAATACTTTCTGTGTAAGGAGTTAAGCTTCACATGTAGACAATAACCATAAGTGTAGCTACATTTTAACATGCCACCGGAAAACAAAGAGGAAAGGATCTCTTTTCTTTATCTTATTCTTGGTAAGCGCCATGAAGAACTTTCAAGTTCAACTCTGTTAAGAGTTGATGGGAAGTTTTTTTCTTCAAAATGGGAATTTCTCATTAACATTCAAAATATTTCCCAGGTTACACACTTCAATGAACACACAGTGTACTTCCATTTGCACATATTATCACTGGTTAATTAACTTAAATATTTTTTAAAAGTGTGTAAAGGATATGCAGTGTTCAGTATAAGTTCCATAAATGATATGAGTACAGAAACCCAGACAGCTGGTAGTGCAGCTATTCTGGCTAACCAACCCTGTAAAGATCTTAAGGAAATTCTTCCTACTTAGTCAGAATAAGCCTTTCAGATATAGACACTAAAAACTCGCTGCTACACTTTGTCTAATGATGTCTTAACAGCACTGGTTTGGGTTTTTTTATATCAAAGCCTTTTGCTCACCTTTGTTCCTCAACCTCTAGCGTAGACTTCTGATACACAAGAGTACAGGGGTTTTTATGGGTCCAAAGATAGAAGACTGGGTTTGCCTTTGGAGTTCTATTGACTGTTGCCATCAATATTATATCAGGGCAGCAAATACAAAGTAAAACAAACAAAGTGGAAACCAAGCAACTACAAAAATCTGGTGAAGATTCAGAGGAAATTAGTCTGTGTTTCTTTCTTCACAGACCGTGCTTCCTGCAGTGCCTCTGGAGATCCACATTATAACACTTTTGACCACAGAGTCCATAATTTCATGGGAAATTGCACTTACACCCTCTCCAAAGTGTGCAATGTCTCTGAGAAGCTTCCATACTTTGATGTGTCCACAACAAATGAACACAGAGGAGCCAATACCAAAGTCTCTTATGTGAAGTCAGTGCAGGTGGAAGTCTATGACAACCAGATTTCTCTACTGAAAAACAAGAAAGTGAACGTAAGAGGACTTGATTAAAAGACATATACAAAATATTTTTAACTGACATGCCAATAAATATTACCTCTGTAGAGTTTATAGCAAACTTTCTCTTTTTATTAGTGGCCTGTACCTCTTTTAATGAGATCTCCAACAAATTTGCTCAGATTAAATGTTCTTTAGTTACTTCCAGTTCCTTTGTGCACAAGAGCATATCTTTCAGTAATCTGTACTAGCTGCTGGTAGTTGTAAGAATCCCAGCAGTCATGCACTAACTTTTACAATTTGCTGTACAGGTGAATGGTCGCAGAATGAACCTGCCTGTATTTATTGAGAAGAAAATCAGTATTCAAAGCAGTGGTGGATATGTTCTCTTGGAAACTGACTTTGGATTGTGGGTGAGATATGATGGAAACCACTATGCAGAAGTCTCCGTGCCCTCTAATTACAGTCATCTCCTCTGTGGCCTCTGTGGTAAGTTGTAGACTTAGTCATTTTTTAGTGAGTTGTGGAGGCCGGTGGTTGCTTCAGCTTTTTTTATTAGGGTGTCATTCTACACACAACTACTCCTTGTCAAATGGACTAGAATTTACAGCACTGAAAAATCTTGCTAGACTTTTTCAGTTTCTAAGAAGAACGTAAAAATTTCCTGGTAACATGCTATCTGTTTGGAATGTTGTGAGGTATAACTAAAAATAACATTTTCAGCCAAATAAAAGAACTGCCTTCAGTTCTACAGTTTAAAATCAAGAAGAGTAATTTTTTACATGGAGCTGTTTAAGAATTCTGCAAACACATTTTTATTTTAATAACATTCTGATGTATTTGTCTTTTGTTGGGTGTGGAAATGCTATACCATTTCATTTTGTGAGTTATAAAAACCTGAGGCTGTTTGCACAGCAGAGAGAAATCTTTAAGAATTGCTTACTGTCAGCATCCTGCTGAAGTTCTCCTGCTTCTCTTTTTCTATGCTCTTAGAAGGCATTTATAAAACCCGAATGATCATGTTTAAACAATCAAAAGAATGAGAAAACAAGAAAAAGGTGAAACATCAGACTACAATGTTTCTGATTATTCTTTGTTTTGGATCATCTAGAACTTCCTATTCTATTTTCTCTCTATGGGTTTTTCATGCTTTCAGTGCAGGAAATCTACCTAAGAATATAATGGTGCAAATAGCACTGTGTAATTTTTAGTCCAACATTCTACATGTAGGAAACAGGAAAATGAGTTGGTTTTGTGGGAGTTTTTTGGTTTTGTGGGTTTTTTTTAGTGAAGAAGTTCTTTCTTGCATGCAATGTAATCTGGTTACATAGCAGCTTAAGAGTTTCTGCTTCAAGTTCACAAGTGCCTGAACAGCAGCTCTTGTCAGTCAGAATCTAAAACACAATTCTTCTCTTCTTATTTTGCCCAGTACACATTGATGTTGCATAAATACTCTCCTTATAACATTTTACTTTATTTTACAACCTGAAACCTAGTATTGTTCTACAGGTTTGAACTTCATGTGTCACATAAATCTCCTTTTACCTTCACAGGTAATTATAATGGTGATCCGAATGATGACAATATAAAGCCCAATGGTGATATTGCAAGTGGTTCCACTGATCTTGGAGAAAGCTGGCTTGTGCCTGAGAACAACACCATGTATGTATAATAATTTAGTCACATGGCATTTGTTAACCAAACTCTTTAAAATCAAATACCTATCCACTTACTTGCTGGTTTTATCATCCAGTACCATTCCATATCTTCCAGCTGCCCATTAGAAGTAGAGAGCTGTACCTTTATGCAAACCAGAGAATGATAAGAGGGTTGTGTCCTTTAAGTCTTGTTTTCCAAAGCAGGAACTTTCTGTTGAGTTTGAGGGGGAATGGAACTTCAGTCCAGTTCCCTGATTGGAACCATAACTGTTTGGATTCCATAACTCTTTTTTTTCCAGCTAAGATTAAGCCTTTGAATAGCCCAGAAGGGATCAAAAAAATTAGCTCATTCAGTGAGAGGACTGACATCAGCTTTTCAAAGAAGATGGATAAAGTCTTGTGACTGACATAAAGTACACTCTGTTGTGCGGGGTTGTCACATGTCAATCTTCCACTGAAAATCTGATAGCAAATGATGATTCTGCTTGCTTTCCCCAGATGCTCCAGTGGTGGGACAGAAGAGCAATGTGATCCTGTGTTGGAGAATGAAGCAAAGAAGAACACAGCATGTGGCATGATCACAGACCCAACAGGTAACATATTGGTAGTTTTCTGTGAGCCATATGATGGAACATGTTACAGTTTGTTTTATCCCTTCTTTATAGTCTGTTTTTCTGAGGTCACATTGGGAGCATATAAAACCTCCAGTGTAAATGGCCAATGTAAAACTCATAGGTGCCTGGTCAGGATATGTCATCGGTTCAGAGAGTGCCAATGTGTCCATGGAGATTATTTCAGAACATGTTCAGGGAGCTGCTCTTTTCTTTATAGTGACTTGCACTCTGCTTGCTGAAAGAATAGTTCAGAGGGCACTGTCAGTGTATGTATTACAGATACTTTACCTAAAATTCTGTATATCTTCTCTGCATTGGATAGTCCCTGTAGTTGTCTGGAGTTTCCTAATGGTTTTCCTAGGCAGCAACGCTTAGTTTATGTAAGCCATGTTGTTTCAATCTTGCAAAAAGAAGAAAACCTGATCCAGAGGGCCCATTCTCATTCTGCCTTATGCATCCATTTCAAGTGCTGTTTTAACTTACTAAACAAAGTTAGCCTGGAGCACTTACAATACATTTGCTGTGACAGCAAATAAATGGTGGTTGTGATCTTACTATTCCAGTTGGTTTTTTCTATCCTACTATATATCTTTCTTGATTTACACAGGAATCTTCAAGGACTGTCATATCAAAGTGCCTCCAGAGAATTTCTTTGAAAACTGTGTTTATGACATGTGTTTCACTGGTGGACAAGCAACATCCTTATGCTATGGACTACAGGCCTATGCTGAGTCATGTATCAATGCTGGGACATGCATAGAGTGGAGGAATGCTACTCTTTGCCGTGAGTGTTGTGATAGAAACATCTATTCTGGATTTTAACTTCTTTGTCCTCTACCTTCTTCACGCAAGTTATTTCATTTTATGTAACGTTCTGACTATAGTCTGTCTTTTATCGTGTCTTGATCCTGCTTCAAATTCAGTACCATTCCAGGACTTGTAGAAAGCAATCATTTTCAAGAACATTTAGAGTGATCTTATTTTTCCTTTTTATCTAGCAATGTCCTGTCCTGGAGGCAGCATCTACAAGAGCTGTGGTACTAGGTGTCCCTCTACCTGTTTGAACATCTCAGCCTCTGATTCCTGCAGTTCTTTACCAGTGGAAGGTTGCTTCTGTAAGGAAGGCTATGTTTTGAGTGGAGACAAATGTGTGCCAGAAAGTAGCTGTGGTTGTGTTGATGAAAAGAACCAGTATCACCAGGCAAGTTACCTCAGGCATTTAAGTAAATAAATAAATTAAATTAAAAAGGTGGGGGGGGGGTGGGGGGGGTGGTTTGTGGATGGGAAGAATCTCATTCCTTATCACCGTGAGAGAAAAAGCATGTTAATAACACTACACAATTAATATATACACCATTAATAATTTCAAAATAGAATTACTTTGCCAGCCTTCTTGATCCATGAGCTGTGTGCCTACAATTGCACAAATGATCACATATCATGCACATTCAAATATTGATAATTTTATTTCATTACAGTTTTACAGTCTTATTTATCTTATAGCATATAATTCTACACACTTTTTTCCACTCAGCTGAATGAAAGCTGGTTCACCCAATATCCCTGCACTGAACGCTGTACCTGCAAGGCTAATAACACCATTGAATGCACATCCTGGGAATGTGGAGTCCAAGAGGAATGCAGTATTCAGGATGGTGTGCTGGGCTGTCATTCCAATGGTAAGTTCTGCCTGAAAATCATTCCAATGTGAATTCCACAATCCTCTTCTCCTTCTAGCTTTATCATAAATGTCTCTTCCCATGTGATAGTAAAGAAGTCCCAACTGACTACTGCCATTGCTAAGAGATGAAAATATGATGATCTGTCTTGCAAGCACAAATACCCTTCTTTTGTAGTGGACATCAGCAAAAACTGATGATGCCCGAAAGTTTGCAAGGTCACTTGGGTTCTGTTTGTCCTGATAATGAAAAGTCATGTCCCACATCACCAGTACTGCAAGCTATAAATTTGTGAATGATTGAGAATTGCATTTCTGTGGGTCTGGGTTATGACAAGTGCGTTATATATTGATATATGCAGATGCAATTTTATTTACTTTTATATTTACACCCATATTTATAAAGACAGTTCCATATTTTTGCATAGATAAGTAGAAAAGCTTTGTATTACTCTCAAATACCATAAACTGTTGCTGCAACAGCATATAGAAATATATACAAAAGATCATTTGATGACATTTTGTAATTCTGTATGTTATTTGTAAATTAAATTTAGGAGATGCTCTCTAGAAATTTCTTATTTTCAGATAAATGTCATTGGCATGAACCTGAGAGGCCTCTGCGAAATTTTGCCCACATAATATTTATCAGGATTAGGTTGCAACACTTATGCAAAACTCCTTTATCAGCTGAGTCCATGACTAGGTCCAGTACAAAGTTCTTAGATAATTTTTTTCACATTCAGGTCAAGCAACATGTCAAGTGGTAGGAGACCCCCATTATTTCACTTTTGATGGAGTGAAGTACACTTTTGTGGGAACCTGCACCTACACTTTGGTTGAGGTTGTCAGCACTGCCACCAATGTCATTCCTATAACCATACTGGGCAAGAATGAAGACAGAGGACTGAGAGGGGCCACATACCTAAAAGAAGTCTATATAGATGTGCACGATGTACGAATCACCCTTCAGAAAAACCAAAGAATCCTGGTAGGTGGTGGTGCTTTTTACTTTGGCAAGAAGTATCTTAAAATTAGCTCATTTACAGTAGCTATAGGAAAAAGGATCTTCATGTTTCCTAAGGAATATGTACGCATATGCTTAACACTTGTGGGCACCTCTATTAAGTGGATAGCATGATGAGATATCAATTCTCAGTAGTTCCCAAGGCTTCTGGTTTGGGTTTACTGTTTTATTGGTCATATCTTGGAGATGGAGCCCAGAGCCTCCAGACTGGAGAACTGTTGCTTGAATTAAAGTATGGGACTCCCCACATCAACAGCTCTTGTCAACCCAATCACTTATAGTGAGCTAACAAGAGCAGAGGAAAGGCAAGTCATACTGTATCAGTTTAGAATAACATGGGGATCCACAGCAGTACTGGAGGTGAGAAATATACCCTAAGGGTGAGCAAGAGCTTTCTCACTACCAGTGATCTTTCTAGCTCCCTGTTAAAGGCACAGGATATGAGTCCTGCCCATCTCTCCTTAGCTAAAAGGCTTATTCCTGCAACCCATAGTTGGAATATGCAATGGTGGAAGTGTAAACAACTAAAGCTGTCACAGAGAATTCTTCAGCACTGCTAGAACTATAGACTGTGAGCAGAAAAGCTTTCATGGAACAATGTTCATACTGACAAAATTGTATGCCTCTCCAGCTGAACAATGAGAGAGTCTACACCCCAGTGGAGAACCGACTGCAGGGCGTGTCCATTGGAAATGTTGGCAGATTTTTAGTAGTGGAAACTGACTTTGGCGTGATAGTGAAATACGATGGCAATCACTATCTGGAAATCACTCTCCCACAATCTTATTTCTCACAGGTAATATTTAGTGTGCAAACATCTGGCTCTTTAAAACCACTGCTTTGTGCATTTACTTCTAATTCCCTTTATTCTTGTGTTTTGCTATTGTATCTTTCTTTGTAGCTGTATTGTAACACATGACAATTTTTTCCTTTCTATTTTTTTCTCTTCACAATAATTTCCTTGTGTTCCAAGGAGGTAGTTAAAGAAAATTACCTGGCTAGAGGAATACATCTAACTTGGAGAAATAAATGCCTTGAAGCCTTAGGAAACCACAGATTTACTGCAATTTCTGTTTTGTTTCTCCATGGGTGCAGTCAAAATGTCTAAAAAGTCTCATACAAGATTGGTTGTTGTTGATCTGGTCACATTATTTCATAGGCAATGAATAAGAATTTATTGGGAAAGTTGATGTGAACATGTCATGCTTAGAATATGTTTCTTTTTATTTTCAGGTGCATGGCATGTGTGGTAATTTCAATGATAATCATGAAGATGATCTGTCCTTGCCCAACGGAACAGCCATCAGTGCTCCACAGTTTGGAAATAGCTGGAAAGTGGAGAAAGACAGTGATAAGGGGTAAATATTAATGTCTTTTCATACCTTCTATCTTGCTTCAGAAAATAGTCAATTGTTTTCAGTTGTTTTGAGTGTCTGCTACTTTGTAACATGTAAGCAGCATGTGTGAGACTTTTCTCTTCTTGAATTCGAAGCTCCAAGAAAAAGCCATCCCCACAGGAAAGCACTGCACAAGCCAGAGGGAACCCCTAGCCATTCTATCAACATACACACTTGGAGAATTAGTTTTTGGGGCACCCCACAGGGTGTACGCAGCCTCTGTCTACTGTACACTGATAACAACCCCAGCAGGATAATGGTGCTGGGAAATGGTGAGGGCCAGCTGCTCCCTAGGGGACAGGAAGCCATATTTGACAACACAGCTGAGAAAACAGTGGCCTCAGGCCTGCAGTGGAAGCCAGAGACAGTCTGGATCAGTCCAGATCACCACACAAATTTGCAGTGGTGAGACAGATACAAGATCAAGCTGTGAGTCAATCCTCTAGTCTAGGATCAAGTTTAGCGAGAGTAACAAGTGTCAGACACAGCATGGTGGTTGTCAGGCAGGTCTAATTCTGCCAAGTCTTTCACTCAGAAAGAAGGAAGACTGTAGTCTCTAACCTTTTCTACCTCACAGTAGAAACAAACATTTCAATTTTCATGTCTTATGAGTGCCATTGCAACTTAGATGCCTGTATCTGTGCTTTCTTGCAGTTGCTTACCAGACTTAAGAGAAGACGATGATCCTCCTTGCACTGCTGAGAATAAACAAGTCATTGAAAGCCAGTGTAATGTCCTAAAATCAGACAAATTCAAAGTATGCCATAATCTAGTCAACCCTGAAGACTTCGTAGAAATCTGCATCTATGACATGTGCCAGTATGACGGCATGAAGTCTGCTCTCTGCGACATAGTTCAAGCCTACGTGGAGACCTGCAAGAACCATGGAATCACCATTAAATGGAGGAATAGCACATTCTGTCGTAAGTACACAAGCTAGGGAAAACACTGAAACTTGGATGACCGATAGTGTGAAAACAAATAAGCAGAATTAGGTGAACAAGTTATGTCAAAGAAAATTAAATCCAAATTCTCACAAAACACAGTTCTACTATTACGATTCCCGTGCTGTGCTGAACTGTGTTTGGGTTCATATAAACCCAGTGATAACTCAGGACTAGGCAAGCTATGCACTAGCAGTGCCCAAAGCGGCATTTGCAGCATAACTGGAACACTGAATCTGAATGATCTAGTGCCATGTGCCAACAGTTCAGGCACACCTGTAATAAAACTGCATAAGCAGTTCCAGAAAGGGTTCTTTGTTTTGTTTTGGTTAGTTCAGGTTTTTTTAAGTAAAGTACAAAAATTAAAATTGCTTGATCATCAAAATCAGCTATTAAAAGGCAATTCTGTACTACCATTTTATAGGCCAACATGTAGCTTTCAGTATTTGCAGTGCACTTAGTAAATGTAAACTTAAATATAAAGTATATTTAATAACGCTGCTCCTATTCTCCCACACAGCACTGCCCTGCCCATCCCGGAGCCATTACAAAGACTGTGTCTCCGCCTGTCCATCAACATGCAATGACATTTTTGCCTCTTCCCTTTGTGACAAGACAGAAGAGTGTACAGAGGGCTGTGAGTGTGATGATAATTATGTGCTCAGTAATGGCAACTGTGTACCTCTGAGCAGTTGTGGCTGCAGGGATGATGACAACAATTACTACAGTGTAAGTAGTTTGTTTGTGGAGCAGATCTGTGGCTTCAAAATGTGTAGAAAGTTGGTCTCCTGACCATCTTAATATGAGAGAGAGAGACAGACAGAGAGAGAGAGAAAGATCAAAGTCTTCAGGGTCTACCTCTTAAATACCTTTTATCATATGAGTAAAAGCTGCAGGCTTGGGTATTAGGAGATGCAGAAGCTTGCTTGGTACTTCACACCTGAGGCCAAAACTCAGGCACCTTTGAAAACAGATTTTTTTTCAGATCAGAGATATGCAGTCAGTCTGTCCTATCCTGTTTTGTGTTCAAATTCTCAAACGGACTGAGATCCCCACTCCCACAACTCTTGGTGAGGCTACGCTTGGACTGCGCAGTTGTGGAATCATCAACTGGACAGGCTGCACCTAACCTGTCCCCACACCCTTAGCTATTGAACTTTTGTTGCATTGCAAAGCTTAAACCTTGATAACATACTATCACCACAACTTGTATTTAGGCTGGGGAGACATGGATAACTCCACACTGCAACAAAAGATGCCAGTGTCAGAAGAACGGTGTCATCAGTTGTAAGAGCTATAGCTGTGATTCTAGAGAAACCTGTGTGATCAAAAATGGAAAATACAAGTGCCATCCAACAGGTATGTGCAAGCAAGTCTTCATTTGATGTTCCATGAGGGTTGGAGAAGGAGAGAGAATGTGTGTGCCCATTCTTTCTTCCATGGCAATTCCAGACTTTCAAGGGAAAAGAAGGAAACTCTGACAGTGTTATTGATGACACATTATTGAATATAAAAAGCCTCATTTATCATAATAGAAAGTTCCAGCTCCATACAGAGAATTGTAAGTAATGAAGTAATGAGTAATGAAGCTCTTCCTTTTTAGGCTTTGGGAGATGCCAGATCATGGGCGACCCACACTACATCACCTTTGACGGTCTGGTGCACCACTTCCAAGGGAAATACACATATATTGTGGCTCAGACCATCCCTGGCCTACCTGATACCCTGACACAATTCAGTATTGAAGGCATGAACTCTCCTTTACATCGGAGTCGACACATTACCTACCTGAAAGAGATTCTCATCAATGTTTACAACCACACAGTGCGATTCAGGCAGAACAAGCAGGTTCTGGTAAGTCTCTCCCTGATAGCAGAGCATGGAGAAAGACTCTTCCTTGGAGCAAAACGTCTTTGGGTAATAAATGTTTGTTCTGAAGGATTAAAATACTGAAATACTAAGCAGTATTATTACAGCAGTGCTACGAGGCAACCACAAATGAGATTTTCAGTTGTGTTGAGTCTTTTTTCTCTGTAGTTATGAAGGATTTAATTCTACTTCAAACAAATAAATGTATAAATAGAGTTTTGGGGATAAAACACCAACTATCCCAAGACTTACAATAAAGATACAAAAATTTTTATCAGTGGTAGGGAAAAGTGTGAATTATGCTAGGATGATTTAATTTTTTCCCCTTTATTGGTGTGTAAGAATATACATAGCCCCTATATACACTTTAGCTCAATAATAGAAATCTCTTATGATGATATGAAAGTACTGTGTCCAGATCATTTTTCTCAATATATGATTTTGTTAATTTTGAAAAATTAAATACTGAGTTTTTTACTGATTAAATTTTCTCATACATTTCTCATGAAAAGCAAGAAGAGCTGATTTGTAGCATTGATCTCTACTGAAGTTAGATTTTAATTTGGCCTATATATAATGAATTTTAATTTATTTCCTTGTTAGTTGGATGGTGTCAGGGTGAGACCCCCTCTTCGACCTCATGAAGGTATTCATATATATCAGAGGACAACAAGAATTTACCTGGAGACAGATTTTGGCTTATATGTGAGCTTTGATGGCAACCAAAACGCAGGTAAGAGATGCTAAAAAAAAAGGGCAGAATTATTTATGCACTGTCTCAAAACATGTTCTCATTCCAAAGTTAATCCTGATTTACAACAGCATATAGCTATATTGTTTCTAAGTGTATGGTGAAAGGGCCAGGCTAGTTATTTACGTGATCCTCATTCCCAACCCTAAAATTCCAACTGCAGAAAGAAACAGTTTGCTTGTAGGAATTCTGTTATTCTGTTTCTCAGTGGTCAAGTGGATTGTAAATGTAGGGCAAACAGTGGATGATGCATTCAGTTTGTTGAAAAGCAATAAGCAGCATGCACTAAGAGCACTTGGGCAATGGTGTTGTGTTATATTATGACATATTATAAGAAATTACTGCAAGAAATTCCTTTTTTCATGATCTATTTTTCAGAGCACAGAAACAGTTCCATGAATAAATGTATGAACAAATATGTTCAAGGCTACATGTGAAGGCCATGTCATGTTACAAACTGAGTCATAAAATGTGGCACTTGGCATTGTTTTCCACCTCTTCCATACACTCAGAGATGATGATTTCTCTGTAACAGCTTTTTTTTTTCTTCTGACCTTCCCTAGATATAAAGCTGGCCAATACCTACAGAAGCAGAGTGGAAGGCTTATGTGGTGACTTTGATGGGAGACATAGAAATGACTTCACAAATCCAGATGGTGTTTGGGTGAAGAATGTGAATGTATTTGGTGAAAGTTGGAAAGTTCCTTTAAAAAGAAGCTCTCGTCTCAGGTACTTGTTTTTCCACTTAATATCCATGGCAAGCACTGCCTCTAGAAGTGAGTGAATTAAGCCATAGTTAAGCTCCAGGAATAATTACACTGTCTTATTTCTGGTCGTTCTTCTTCCCCTTTTTTGTGTGTAGGGACTTCTCCTGCTCATCACTAAGGTGAACTATCAGTGCCCTTCTATCTAGCCAAAAGAGGCCTGAATTACTGCATTACTGCAGTTCAGCATCCCTCTTTGGAGTCACAGCCATTATAACTGCTGGGGCATAGGGATAAAAAACATCTTTGCCAAGTGCATGGTTACTGGCAAAAATTAAGTACATGCTATACCACGTGAGCCTAAGCAAGTGTAAATCCTGATTTAATGTCAGTCCTTCCCTGTTCTATTTGAGCTGTATCCTTCTGATTAATGTTCCAATTCTGTTGAATAGATTGGATGAAGGAGGCATTCTGTGTCATGTAGAATTTCCAAAGAGAGAACTACAGACATCTCCTTTAATTTAAATATCATAAATCTCTGAGATCATAGGAAGTGTTCCAGCATACCTCTGATTTGCTACATCTATGTCCTTTCCATTCAGGATAAATCATGAGAGATAAATAAGCCTACCTTTACATTTATAAGGCAAAAGTATTCCTGCAGTGTTACTTAGAGACTAGTACCATGAATGCTGGTACATAGAACACTGATGGTTTCATAATGACTTCATTTATAGAAGAAATGTCAACTCAGAAAATGAGTCTGAGGAGGAGCCAGATCCAGGGCTTTTCCAAGGTTGCAATGAAAATCAGCTGGAGCAGCAAAATGCAACTTCAAGATGTCAAATCCTAACTGACTTGAATGGTCCTTTTGCAAAGTGTCATTCTACAGTCCTACCAGATTTCTATTTCACGTAAGTGTTTACTGCAGACTGTTGTTCTCTCGATTTGCAAAATCATTTTGGCAATAGTTTCTGACAAGAACTTTGCATCTTCAATCTCAAGGGTATTAATAGGAACCGAGGATAATAAGTGTCTTTGGAGAACTGGGCCCAGTGATTCCATTACTGATATATTTACATACCATTCTTTATTTTTAAATAAATGTGATGGCCTTTCTTTCATCTATTTAGAGTTTACTTCTCTGTTAGCTCTATAGAGTAGCTTTCCTCTTTTTGCACACAGATAAAGCAGTAGTGTTAAGCATTATACCTGTAGCCTGGAATTTCCAATGTGCTTACAGTTCTCATCTACATTCAGTGAGAATTTAGCATCTGGGTCTATTGGCTTCCTTTAAGCAATTCTAGCTTCATAAAATCTATATCATGCTATAGCCAAAAGCTGAAATTGTCAGTGACGCTTCTTGAATTTTTCATGGAGAAGTACAAAAACTAGAGTAATGAAGAGTAACTAATCTGGTATCTTCAAGTTCCCTCAGCTCTGTTTCAGGGTTGCTCTGCCTCCTACCTATGCAAGTCCTGCATACCTAATTTTGAGCTGTATTCATCTCCGCATTCATCATTCATCCATCATCAGTCAAAAATATGACAAGTAGCTGCCAGTTTTCTTTTGTTACATAGTTGCACTTAGTATTTAAAGATAGACAATGCCCACCTCTTATCTGTGAGAGCAATGCTACACTATCTTAAGCCAAATAAAGTGGACCACTGGTTTCAATGTATATATGCTGATTCTTAACATAACTTTTCTCCTTACTCTAGAATTTGGTTAGGCAGCCTGTTCTGCCTGTCTAGCGGTGCCCTGATCTTACTGAGGCACTGCATATTTTCAGATTCCATTCATCTGGGATCTCAGTGCCTCTGAAAAATCAGACCACAGATATTCAAATGATGAGCAAAGCTGAGAAAGTAGCACCGGCAAACAAACAGCATTCTTTGTCAATATTAAAGCACGTGGACATGGAGAGGGTACCCATGTATTGAAAGAAGTGTGTAGGCCAGCTGTAAGACTTAGCAGTGCTAAAAAGTGCTCTACAACCAAGATGTAGCTCAAAACAGAAGCAGATAACAAAGAATAACTGATTGTGTTAGGTCAGGTAACACTTTATTGCTTGTTCCAAGGGAGGTCTAGATTGCACATTAGGAAAATTTTCAATTTAGGGGCATGATTTAGTGGTGGACCTGGTAGTGTTAGGTTAAAGGTTGGACCTGATTATCTTAGAGGTCTTTTCTAGCCCTAATTATCTATGATTCTATATGAACACCTCACATATTAGCAGCAGCTGCACAACAAATGACCTGATCTTCCAATTATGTATCTGGGGTGCTTTTTGAGCCTCTGTTTCCTGTAAGGAAGATACTGGAAAAAAGAAGTAAGTCAGAGGCAGGCAGAAAATCAGATGAAAATAAGCAATAACAAATGTACTGGAAATTAATGTTTTGTCATGTGGCACACAGGAGCTGCCTGTTTGATATGTGTGTGGAAAGAGATGAGGTCACTACCTTGTGTCGCAGTCTGGAGGAATATGTGCTGGCTTGTCAGCAGCAAGGAGTCAGTATGGATGGCTGGAGACAACAGACAATTTGTGGTAAGCATGGGAAGAAATGGGAAGTATGGGTTCTGCCTATAGGACTCTCAAAATATGAGGTTTAAGGCTTTTCCTAGTCATACCATTTATCAAAACCTCTCAGGGAGTAAAAAACATGTTGATTCTCACTTCACTCAGTCTTCACAGTTTAACACGCACATTTGCCTTTCTGGCCTCTCTTCTGTGTCCTATGCTGACTTTTACATTTAGATCCCAGCTTACAAAGACACTTTTGAAATCAGAGCTCTCAGCTCCCTATTATCAGAAGTTCTGTGGGAGAAAAAATATCTCCCTTCTCAATGGGACCAAAAAAAAAAAAATTGTAGACCATTCACAAGCTAGAAATCTAAAGGAAAAATATTTAATTTCAATCTCCTTTAAAATCTACAAAATATACTATCTTTTTTGCCTGTGCAACTTCAAGATAAATAAAGATTCAACTGAAAACACTAACTTTTTCAGACTAAAAATTGCTGAAATAAAACTTTTAATCATCTCAAACTTTTTTTTTACTAAAGTTTTTGGAGGTTGGGAGAGTAATCAAACCATATTTTCCCTGTGTTTCCTATGACTCTATATTCCTGGTGAAATACAGTTCCCAAAGTTGTGGAATAGATCTGGCACTTGCAGGGATGGCTACCCTGAATGTGTGGGAAGCTGTTTTGAGATCAGTGTATATCAGGAATGAGACCACATTATATAAGTAGCTTAGATGATGCATTTCCTGACTTTGGAGTGTTTTACTTACAACTTCAGTACTATTATATATGTATGCACATCTCTGAGTATGTATGTTCATCATATGGTCTCCTACAAAATTATGCCTTCTGGATCTGAAAGGGAATTCTATATTTAAGTAATGCACAGCAGCCTGGTATAACTGAACGGTCCTTATTTTTACAGGTATATCATGTCCTGCCAACAGCAACTACAGCTCATGCATGTCTGCATGCCCAGCATCCTGCAACGACCTGACCAGCCCCTCTGAGTGTGAATCATCTTGTGTGGAAGGCTGTGAATGTCTCCCTGGCTATGTTCTTAGCGGTTTTGACTGTGTGCCTTACAAAGAGTGTGGCTGCACATACCTGAACAAATACTATGAGGTACATACAATCTCTCTGTGTCTCAGACAGCGCCCGCAGCACTAAACAGTATTTTCTTCCATTAGTTGACAATATCCTCGTAATCCTCAGCATGTAATTTTGCATTAGAAACAAAGAGCAATTGTTGAAATAAAATTCTGGTTTCTGGAGAAAGGGAAGAGAGAGGAGATTCCTCGGTCTCCCTCTGAAACTCTGTCTGCCAGAATACTCAAGGCAGCTCTTGGAGAAAGTATATGATTGCACTTTGACCTCTATGTTAATGCCTCACCTTTATTAGGCTAAATAACAGCCTCATAGGCACTAAAGTTTACAACATACCAGTTACAGAGAAATTCTGTGGGTCGCTGTGGTCCCACTTATCTCAGTGAAGAGTGATGTAGGTAGTGTTGCAAGACTGTAGAGCTGGGGAGGACAAGAAGAGAGCCCTGACCAAGGCTGGATTCTGAGGAGAATCCTCCATTGTCACTGCAGGATAGAACAACTTCATTCTCTCATATATTTCTGCTTTAACACTAGAGATTTGGTACTGAAAAGGCCTAAGGCAGTAAACATTTTTTTATTGGAGGAGGGAGACACTATTAGCAGGTGGCACTTCTAATTAAAATGGAAGATAGCATTTCCACATTGCCTTGGAGGTATGATGTGCCACGCTTATCTCCAGCAACAGTTAGACACTGTTGGTTGCACATGTACCCCACCTGGGACTAGGATCTCCTACCTCAAATTCTTCTTTCACCTTCTTTCTAGTTTCAAACAGCAGGATTAGTAAGCTGCTTGTTTTATTTGTACAAACTAATTAAAAAAAACTTGCCCTGTTGCTGTTCATCAGGAAAGCATTGGAGAGACTATAATGGGGCCCCATGCTCTATTCATGGGTTTTTTTCTGGCTGATTTTATTTTATATTCTTAACATCTCACTGCTATCTTCCAGATTGGAGAAATATTCACCACCGATGACTGCTCTCAGATATGCCAGTGCACAGAAAGCTCCACTGTTTTCTGCTATGACAAAGCATGTGGGGCTGATGAAATCTGTGGAATTTCAAACTACAGTCGTGGATGCTACAGGAGTGAGTCAACCACTATCACATTTCCTTTGATGCCGTGAAGTCTTGACTTACCTTATAGGACATCACCGGGCTGGGGATAGTTTCAAGAGAGTGTGTACGGAAGAAAAGAATGTAGGGGGTCTTGCTCTGATGTTTCCTTGCAGAAAAAGGGTTTCTTTCCATTATTCCTGCTGTCAGATACAAGTAACTGCCTTATAAAATACAGGGGATGTGCAGCATTAGGAGTCAGTGTAATCTAAGCAAGAACAGTTCTCTCAGGGTTAAATTATCTGAGAATCAACTGTTTCTCCTTCCTTTTCACTAGGTGGACCATGTATGCCAAATCCTTGTAAGAATGATGGTGTTTGCTCTGAAACTACCAACGACACCTCTCTCCGTTACTACTGTGAATGTTCAGAGCTCTACACAGGACCTAAGTGTGAGGCTGAAAAGATAGGTAATAAAACTATTTTGGATTTCCCTGTCTGAATTACTGACACTGCTTTCAAAAATGGGTGTTATTATGGAGAAAACTAAGCTTAGTCTTCATTTTCATTATGTAAATTAGCAACCCAGTGGGTGAGAGCCAGTGGTCATCCGAGTAGGAAGAAGAGTCAGATGCCTAGTGGAGAGGTGCTAGAAATCATGACAGCAGGGCTCTGTAGAGCACACAGGATCTGAGTCTGGTACCACTTCAGAAAGCCACATTCATCAGAGAACACGGTGTAAACCAAACAGATAGGCAAGGATTGAGAGAAAAAATTCTGTTCACAGTATGGTCAGCTTTTACTGACAGGGCTCCTATTTCTTCTTTATTTGAAGACTCTGACACAGAGGATCCCAAGGACCATACAATTGACATCGTCATCGGAGTCGTGGCAGGTGTAGCTGTTATCGTCATTCTTATCTCCTCTGCAGTGTACCTGTACAGGTAAGGCTTTTTCCCAGCATTGCTACATTCAAAAGAGTCAAGACACATATACCCCTTTTAGCACCTGTAAACCTCAAAACTCCCATCAGTCACATACCTGCAGGACCAGAAAGGAACCATAGCACTTGGGATCTCTTCTGATCATTGTTTGACCTCTCACTATAGATAAGAATAGAAATTAAAACTGGTTACTATAGGTAAGAATAGAAATTAAAATTGATTGTTCTTTTTTTTTTCCTCTCATTGTACAGGAGAAAGGTGGATACAGTGACAATAACAAGAGATTCTTCTTTGAAGTGGTCCAGGGATGAATTGGATGCCAGAGCACATGAACAAGATTATGGCTGCATTGTGAACAGTGCTTTTGATCAAAATGAATCAGAAAATACACAGCTATAGTTAACAATATTTTTCCAATTCATTTGTCATACTTTCTGCTCTTGTATTTTAATTGCATTTCTAATACTTTGAGAAGAAATAATAATAAATTTATCATTGCATTTTTTGAAAACCTTTGAAGTTGATAAGTTAAAATAGCCCTCGGATCTCATGTTGTAGACCCAAAGTGGAATATATTCTAACTGACATAAGAGACTCCGTTGTCTTCAAAGGCTGTTTGAAAAACACGGGGTCCAGACAGAATTTGACAGCACAAGTGCGCTGCACACTATCACTTATCTCTGAGAGATGTACAAAACTGTAGACTGATGTGGTCAGAATTCGAACTGAAAGTCAGCATGTTTATATCAGATATTACGAAGTAGGTTTAGATTAGATTTTAGAAAGAGATTCTTTACTGTGAGGGTGATAAGGCACTGGAACAGATTGCCCAGAGAAGTTGTGGCTGCCTCATCCCTGGAAGTGTTCAAGGCCAGGTTGGATGGAGCTCTGAGCAACCTGATCTAGTTAAAGGTGTCCCTTTCACACAGCAGTGGGTTTGAAACTGGATGATCTTTGAAGTCCCTTCCAACTCAAACCATTCTATCATTGTATGAACTAATTATAGCATCCCAGGCAGGTCTTCATGAGATCATCTTACCCAAATCCTTCCATGGGGAGGGGATTAACTTACTGACGTGAACACAGTTCTTACTCCTTGTCTAGCAAAGCATATCCAACTGGGGAGAGAAATAAAACAGAAGACACTAAGTTCATCTGAGGACAGATGTACTAAAACAAATAACACCCACTGTCCCCCTTGGGTGTGATGGACTGAAAGAAGTGATTGTTTGATGGAGCACTGCCTCCTTGCTATTAGGGTGGAGAGGACAAGGGGTACAAGAAATAGAGTTGTAATCAGTCCCTGTGGAGGCTATGTGAGAGCATAACTTAACACAAACTTTCTGAAGAATGAGATCCTGTCATAAACTCTCCTGGGGGTCTTTGCAAACTCAGAAGCTGCCAAAATGATAAATGTGAGAGGAGATTTTCACCCGCTCAGCTGCAGACCACACTAAGGACCCCCCTACATCAGGAGACCAAAGGTGTTTGCAACAAGGCCTGGTAACAAGCCTTGTGTTACACCCACCCCGTAACAGACCCGTCACAAAGCTCAGGAACTGAAGCACTGCCTGGGCCTTGTACAAGGCCAGAATGAATTTCCAGTGCTATGAGTGAAGCTTTGAGGTGTAAGCACCACAAAGGTTTTACTGATGTTTTTCCAGTTCATTGCACATTACCTCCTGATTGTTTAGGAATACATATAGTGCTTGTAGCTCAGCTGCAGTGAAAGAGGCAAGGGGCCCCGAACTGGTGCCAACCTTTTACATAACAAAGGGCACAGGTACAGGGACCTGTGACACCAGGCAGGCGAAAAGAGAGACACAGTAGGAGTGAGGAACAGCAGTCTTTCACACTTACACTGTGAGGGTATAAAAACTGCAGAGTTTCTTTTTCTGGGGTCCCTCCTTGAAGGCACCCAGATCAAGCTGCTGTTTTGTTGTTGCAATTTATTTTAAGGATCCAGGTGTCTGAGGATCTGCTAAGGGAAACCTGGGGTCAAGCCAGGGAGGAAACCTTGTCTGACTGTGTGAGTGTGGGGTGTACAGGGAGTCGAGCAGGGCACCCATTGGCTCACTGGGGCCACCTGCTCTGATGGGCAGTCCCAGCTCGGGTGGTTTGAGCGTGTCTGCCACAGGGGCTCCTGAGTGGTTGGACAGAAGGGTTTCCTTAACAATGATTGCAGTGAGGAACAGTGTGGGCTTCCTGTTGTTTCTGCCATAATGCTGGTTATTATTTACTTATCCTTTCTCCTTTCCTTTTTATCTATAAATTCATGTGTACTGTTAGCCAGAGAAGTATTTGCAGTCTCCATGGTGAGTTAGGTTATTCTGGTCCATTCAAGGGCACACCAGCCTGTTCACGTGGCCTGTTCATCCACACAGGCCACAGCTATTTTGGAGAGTGTGTGAATAGAAAAAGCCTTTCAACCTCATTACATAATGAAAATGAATCGAGAGAGACCTACATGTGCACAAATGAACCGTCAGCCTTATGCTGGAATTTCACCGTGAATATAATGCCATCTTTCCTGCCTCTTCAGTGGCAGCTTCCTATTGCACTCTTGTGCCTGCAGCAGTGCGATTCTCTGACTGCTGAGCGGCGTTGACCACGCTCACCTCCCCTTGCACTGGTGAGAGCACAGGCCAGTCCCTTCCCTGCAGGATCCCAGCCCAGGCTCCCCTAGGCAACAGAATCCTACTGTGCCCAGGTAAAGCAGATTTCTGGGTTTCTACATATATTTTTTTTTTTTTTGTCAATACCACAGGAATAGTCCTGGCTTTCCACTGCAAAGCTCTGCAAATAATTCAGACTTGAAGTATGGTGTAATATGGAAAGAATTGCCACTCAGTGCTCCACTGAATTAACTAATTCATGTCACTAGAAGTCAGAAAGATTACAAATCTCCCACTGCTCTCATCTTTTAAATAAACCAGCTTGCTCACCTGACTTTTTAAGTTCTGGGCTTTAAATACACTGCTGAGTTCAACTCATCCAGAAGACAGTTTTATTGTTTGTGAACCTTCCTTTTTAGCACACCGTGCAGGCAACAGCCAAGGAGATGGCCGTAAGGGATCGGGATCCTTCTCGGATCAAGACTTGCTGGGCACAATCATCAGATTCCGCTGATGTCCTGAAAGAAATGCCTGGGCCGCGTTAAAAAAAAAAAAAAAAAAAAAAAAAAAAATTAGCCATCCTAAAAATCTTTTGTTGTTTCTCCTCACCGGAACCCCTACGCGGCTGGAGGAGATGGCAAGGCGGCGGTGTTCCGTCTTCGTCGGGGACAGGACCAGATTTTCCACCCAGCTAGCGGATTAGCCAACACCCTCGGGAGTGGAGCCTCCGTCTGCGAGGACGGGACGGGACGGGACGGGACGGGGGTGCTCCGGGACAGCCCTGGCAGTGATCCCGGCAGGATCTGCGCAAGCGCCTTCTCCTCGCTATTTATAGCGAGCCAACGGGTCAGGAGCTTGGTGGCGGCAGCGGCGGAACGGGAGGTGCAGTGAGCGGGGCGATGCGAAGGGGCGGGGAGCGGAGCTCGGCGGAGGGGGCTGGAGCTCAGGGGGTGAGAGCGGGCGTCTGCCAGCAGGATGGGGGTCTGGCGAGCAGCCGAATGTGCCCCGGAGCCTGGGGACAGGCTCGCCACCGCGGGCACCCCCGGGGAGCTGCGTCTCGCCAGCGGAGCGGGCCCGGTCGCCGCACAAGCCGAGCCCCGAAGGGAGCACGGGCGGGAGGGGGGCGCGGGGACCGTGCGGCGGCGGGGGGAGACGGGGACGGCGGCGGGGGAGCCGACCTCATCCTCTGGGTGGGAGCGGCGGCCCTTCCGTGCCTTGCCCTGCGCCAGCGGGCGGGAGCGGCCGCCCCGAGCCGGGTGCGACGCGGAGGAGCCGCCGCTCCGGCAGCGGATGCCCTCGGTGCCCGGCACTAACACCCTCCGTGCCTGCGGCCCCGGCAGCTGCCCCTGCACACCCCATACCTGCCCGCTCCGCTGTGCCCTGCGCTGAGCCAGCCCAGCTACAAAAGCGTGTCCTGACCGCAGGCTCCTGGGATGGCGTCTGGCAAGCGGGACCCCCAGCCGGGGGACCTGATCGAGATCAACCGAGGAATTTACCGGCACTGGGCTCTCTACTTGGGCGATGGATATGTCCTCAACGTGACTCCTGTAGGTAAGGCTGGGGCAGCCTGGCAGGGTGTACTGGTGTGCCCCAGGAGCCCTGTCTCCCTCCGTGGGCTGGTGTTGGACTGACCCTCTGTGTGTAGATGGCCTTTGCAGGACCAGCCAGAAACCCATCTGAGGTCTTGAAGAGGCATGAGAGGTTCTGCTTGGCTTATCTCCTTCCTGCCTTTCCCAGATGAAGGGGCTCCATCCCTGTTGGTGAGCACCATGTCAATATTTACTAGAAAGGCCAAGGTGAAGAAGCAGCTCCTGAAGGAGGTGGTGGAAAATAACGACTGGAAGGTCAACAACAAGTATGACCAGTCCCACACTCCTCTCCCAGTGAAGGAGATCATCCAGCATGCTGAGCTCTACATTGACATGGAGGTGCCCTATGATGTGCTCAGCAAAAACTGCGAGCACTTTGTGACAATGCTCCGCTATGGCGAGGGGGTCTCTGACCAGGTAAGTAACATGGGGTAAGCCCCTGTTTGCCTCACAGAGCACCTCCTTGCTTCTCCCTGTCAGCCCCTGGACTGGGACACTGCCTGCAGGCTGCCTGGGGACAGCCAAGTCCCAGGTGTGGGGTCCAAACCAGCACTCTGGCTTCACCAGAGACCCTGGAGCAGGAGGGTCACTATGGTCTATGTGCACCCTGACAGTGCCCTTTTCCTGAATGCCACAGTAACCCTTCTATTTATGGGGTAGATGTCTGTCATTCATTTAATTGCCCTGATTATCCCTACTTATCATGATTCTAGCCTGTGTTTTCCTTTCCCTTTACAGGCCAAGATAGCAATTGGTAGCATGTTGGCAGTAGGAGCTGTTGCTGTTGCCTCCACTGTCTTGGTGGGCTTGCTCAGGGGCAAATCCAGAGAGAAGGAGTACTGATGGTTTGTCAGAAAGAGCTCAGAGCAAAGCAATAGCCTGTGGCCATGGAGGGTCACTGCCCAGCTTCTGCGACAACTGCCACGGGGGCATACTAACAAGAGGCACTCTTGCTGACAAAATAACCAAATCAAAGCCTTAATAAAATCTAAAAAAACCCCAAAATAATATTGCCATAAAATCCTCTTCTTTGCATTTGAGCGTAGCTTTGTGTGCGATTTAAACACTTCAGCCTTCCTTCTCCCATCCCTTTAGAAAGAGCAAGTTGAGTGTCACCCTTCAAAGTGACCCCAGCAGCACCAGCCTGTTTGCTATATCTGCTTTTTTTTCCATTGCTTATGATGACTTTTGTGGTAGTTTGGGAGCACTTGCAAGCAAACTATCCATTCCTTCCCTGCCATCTCCTCTCCAGTGCTTTGTTGAGGACAGGTGCAGGCTTTCTACCCACATCCTCTTTTTCTCAGATGATTCCTGTAGGCTCTTTCTGTGTGTGATGGACTTTAACCTTAATTTTCTGACAAAATAAAAGTATTGCTGAGCGTATACTATGTGTCTTCCAGCTGAGGGCCTGCATAGATAGAGAACTCCTGGTTCCCAGGCTTGAATAAAAGGGCAAGCAAGGCATGTAAAGTGTTTTAGAGTGGGAGCTTGCAGTGCCTAAACTGAGCAGGTCCTGGGAGGTAGGAAGGGAGGGCAGGTCTTAAAGGCTCTATGATGGTGTTTTGCTCATTTTTGCATGCCTGGAAAGTGCCCCTTGTGGTGGCTCCTCTGACTCCCTTTGGGAGCAGCAGACCCCACCAGTCTGGGAAAGTCTGACCAAAAAAACCCAGCTGGCTCTGTCTCAGTCAGCTATTTGTTCCACTGTGACATCACACTTTCCCTCATCACCCCTGTAAGCCCAGTAATGTTGGCATTAGGGCCTGAGCAAGCTTACTAGATGATTTTTCAGGTCCGTTTCAACCAACCCACTCTATGATTCAACTCTTTAGGATGCCAAAACACTGAGGCTTAGAGAAAGACCACTGGAGATGGCAAGGGCAGCCAGGAGCCTTTGTTCCCCACATCTGAGACCATTGTCTCTTCAGTGACCAGAAGTGGATTTTAAGCAGTTCATAGTCAGCAGATCAATCTTCGCCCAGCCAGCAGAAAGGCAAAGCTGGGGTCCCTGCAGTGCTGGGGGTGATGTATGTGGAGAATGAGCTGTGAGGCACCTTTTGCTCATCTCCAAAGGTATTGAGCCCTGCTATTCCTTGTCAGAAAGCTGATGAGTGGATCGTCTGAGAAGAAAACTCTTTTGGGAAAGTGTGGTTTGCTTCTCTTTACCTGGAGTATCTGGCCTAAGTGTTTGGAAAAGCCTGTTCACTGCAGTCCACCTGTAAGAAATAGAATCCTGTGTTGCTTTTATTTCAGGCAAGTGCCTGGACTGTAAGGAGAGATGAGAGCAAAACAGCTGTTTGTAAGAGGCTTGCTGGTTGTATCTGCTCTTAACATCTTGCTGAGGTTTAACCCCTGCCAACCAGTAAGCTCGCTCCCCTACCAGCAGTAGCTGAAATCAAAAAACTTCCTATGCACATAAGCAAAGTAAAACAAGGAATTGATTCACTGCTCTTTTCAGCATCAGTTTTCTAATGTTTGAAATAACAAAACCAAGACTTCTGGTCGTATTTTGTACTGCTGTCTGTTATTACCTTTGTATAAAGTTCTTATTTCTAATACATGAAAATATATCATCATAAAACTGAAACTCCTTTTTTGATTCCTGCAGTTGCCAGGGAGTAGAGTCAAGGCTGTCATTTTACAAACAGCCAAGAGAGAAATCCTTATCTGTGCTCCAGGGCACAGCCAGTATGGGCCCAGCCTGCCCCTAAGTAGGTGGGATGGTGTAGGGATTTCAAGTATCTGAATATCTGCTGCACATCAGAGGATGAAAACCTGAGCTGTTCAGTGCAAGCTGGGGAAGCCCCAGCACTGTGCAGCCCCACATTTGGCTGCAGGGTCTCACCTAGTGCCCACCACTGTGTTTGCAGGTGGGGCAAATCTCATCCCTGCTCTTTGCTACAAAGTCTTTTGCATTTATTTGAGGCCGGTTGGGATCCATCTGCAGCATTCTCTGCCATTTTTTGTACCAGCCCATAGAGAACTTCAGGGATTACTGCAATATCTAAGACACAACCCAGCACCATCTCCAGCCTGGTCAACTGTGAGACAAAAGGGAAAGAGGCATTTCAAAATCACTGCCAAGCAGCTGACTCATGCTGTGGCTGGCTCCCGCTGTGAGCCAGGCAGTGTGTTCCTCCCAGGCAGCTGCACTACAGCTCCCTCTCTAAAGGCTTAAGGATGTGTTCTGAATGGTCCCCAAGGTTGCCTAAAATAGATTTGGCTGACATACATTGAGTCTTAAGGGAATAAAAAAAAGGGCTGAGGGTTTATGCAATGACAAGAGGAGAGCATGGCTGCAGATTAGGCTAGAAAGACCCAACCCCTGTTCACTCCAGGGAATGGTTGGTAAACTCACCTCTTTAAAAGAGGTACACAAAAGGTGACCAAGAGCACCAGCAAGACATAAGATCAGATAAGACTCTCCAGATCACAGGAGTGCAAAAAGACTGTTGGAAAAGACAGGGGAAACCATTAGATTTAAATCCCTTGCCAAGACGTGCATCTATTCCTAATGATTTGAGAAGATGTCCAACATTTTCCAAGTGGCAAGCACGGAGGAGGCACTTGAAGGCAACATCAATTCTTTGTCACAGAGATCTGGGAAGTTTTGATGCCAGATTCCCCATGGCATGGATCTGCCTATCTTAGGCTACTGCTGAAAGTTGCAGATCAGGTGCCTGGGGCAGAACCTGGAGCCCAAGTACTTTTGTGCAGCCATAGCTGATGCACGTGTGTGCTTCCCCTCCCTCTGTGCTTGCCCTAGTGCCAGGCCTCCACCTGAACGCATCCTGTGCAGGAAGCTCAGAGAGGAGCCACAGGGCTTGGCCATTCCCAGCCTGGGCAGCACAGCTGGCAGCAGCTGTCTGTCTGCACTGTGCCCTGGATGAGTGCCTGGGAGGGCTGAAGTGGCCCAGGCCTGTGTGAGCTCATGGTGCTCCAGGGGGAGGCAACAGCAATCCCTGCCCACTCACTTCTCCAGCCAGCAAGCCTCCTCCAACATGCAAATCCACAATCCACCCCGTTGTGCTTCTTTTTTTTTCTGTGAGGAAGAAAAGCTCGGCAAGCTGCAAGTGCTTTTTTCTTCTCCTGGTTGCTGACCACTCTTTTGAGAAGAGGAGGAACTGCCTCGCTACTCACAGTCTTGTCAGGAGGTTGTAAGAGAAGTTTGAAAGGCTGTGGTGGGCTGGCCCTGGCTGCCCACCAAAGCTGCTCTATCGCTCCCCTCTGGAACTGGACAAGGGAGAGAAAATATTACAAAAGGCTCATGGGTTGAGGACAGGGAGACATCACTCAGCGATTACAGTCATGGACAAAACAGACTTGACTTGTGGAAATTAACTGAATTTACTACCAGTCAAAATCAGAGTAGGATAATAAGAAGCAAAACAAATCTTAAAACCACCTTCCCCACACCCCCTCCCCCTTTCCTGGGCTCTACCTGCTTCAGTCAGTACCGGATCAGCAAATTCGTTCCCAAGTTGACTTCTCCTCCATATGCTTAACTAAAGGGCCAGCAAAATACATGACATGAAAAGGAAATGCACATTTTGTTTGTGATTACGTGCATGCGGCTGTGCACAGTATCAATGCCAGCGAGGAAGAGGAAGAGACAGATTGCAAGCTGGAGGGCCAGGAGGACTGAAAATACATCTAGGGACAGAAGAGCATTTGTGGCCTGGGAAGGAGGGAAGCTCTCAAGTCCCTCGAGTGCGGCTGCAGCCTCAGCTGTCAAGGGCCAGCAGTCCTCAGGACAGGGCAGTGGCCGAGGCAATGGGAGAGCTCCGGTCCTACAAGGGAGCCCTGAAGCTGGAGCGGGAATAGCTCCTGGAGCAGGCAATCGGGCACCACCCACAACACACAAAATGGAAAGGGAATTCCCGGATTCCTTTCAGCATGGCTGCCACAGAGAAGGGGAGAGCCCCTGCCCAGCAAGGGAATCAAAAACCTGGAGCACGGGACAGGTCTGAGGGCAAGCGACCCAAATCCCTCTGAGGTACATGCCCAGGAAGCACGGAGCAAGGTCGGGACGTGCTAATAGGTTTTACCCCCCTAAGTTCTCGTGGCATTTCCTGCAGGGACCCCTCATCCCTCCCTGCCCCCGGCCTGCATTGAGAGGGGTCTCTCGCGCCTTCCAAAACCATATGATAATACGAAAAAATAAAATAAAAAAAAAATCTCCTACATTTAGCTAACCTATAAAAACTACCCCCCTTCACCTACCTGAGACATTCACTCATTTTTCAAGTTGGTTTTGGTGTTTTTCCCCAACAGAGGGAAGCAGCTGCTCTCCCAAAGCCCCATTTTTACAGCAAGTCCTGCTCCTGTGCCTCCACCACCCAGCTAAGAAGGACTCAGCCTGCTCTAATTCCCTTCATTCTTTCAGAAGAGTTAAAATTATGTCATGGGACTTTTTTTCCCCAATTCACCAATCTACCCCTGACAGGAATGACTCAGCTTTTCACATCTTTGCTGAACTTGAAACCCTGTGTGACCTTTCTCCCCACAAAGTGATACTAGAAAGGATAAAACCCTGTGGTGAGCACAGTGTATGATAAACAATGGGTATGCAGCACTTGCCCAAAACAGCAGAGTGGAATCAACGAACAGAATCAGGACATAAAGAGTCAGGTGTTGAACCACAGCTAAGCAACCAAAGCATCTCGACCTTCCCTGCTCCAAACATAAACCACAAACCCAAGCAGCTCCCGTACTGCAAGTTTAGTGCTGCAGGTGGTTTCTGCTTTCAGGTTTAGGCTCTAGAAGAAGAACAGAAAACAGGTCAAATTCCATAGACAAATATTTTTGCCTTAAAATACTGCAGAGTCACTTCACTACCCTTCATCTGCAGTGGCTTCTTTCCTTTGTTGCATTCTACAGCTACAGTTTTAATACCCAGCTTAAGCTGCTGTTGCTTTTTCATTACTAATTTGCTCAGCAGTCCTGGGAATCAAGCACATTTCTATACAAACAGGTAATTACCTTCACATATATTTCATTAAATGGCATTATTGCTGGCTGCTCCATGCCTGTTTTCAGCTTATCAATAAACATTTTTTAAGAAATGGCAAACAAATCTATTCTATGGTCACTGTTATATTTTGCCTTTTCATGTGACTCTACTCCTGTACCTGTTCCAGAAATACTAGTTACCACGAGCAAAGCCCTCCTAACACCACAAAAAACCTCCCAGCACTGGAGTTTGAGGATCAAAACCAATTCAAACCCCTCTTCTTCTGTATTTTATACAGTTACTGAGGACTGAAGTTTAGTTTATCAGCACCTTTGAGAGAAGTGCACTCCCACCCACAACCCCGCACACTGAGCATCGAGCAGGCAGCAGTTCCCCATGACTGCACCCAGCAAACTCACCTGATCAACTCTGGCACACACTGGATGCTGGGAATATTTGGGAGGTGAAGGCCATGGGGAGGCCATGGACACCTCCTGCTCTGACAGTGATATCACTGCATGGACCATTTTCAAAGCCTGAGCTGTAAGGAGACATGAGAGCAAAACAGCTGTCTGTAAGAGGCTTGCTGGTTTTATCTGCTCTTCACGTGCTATCAGGGTTTAACCCCAGCCAGCAACTAAGTACCAGGCAGCTGCTCACTCTCTCCCCTATGGACTGGGGAGAAAACTGGAAAAGTTGAAGTGAAAAAACTTGTGGGTGGAGAGAACCATGGTTTAGCAGGTAAACCAAAAGCCAAACCAAAAGCAAGCAAAGTAAAACAAGGAAATATTTCACTGTTTATTTTTTTTTTCAGTGTTAGTTTTTCAGTGTTTGAAATAGCAAAGCCAAGGCCTTGGGTCATGTTTTGTAATGCCCCTTGATATTACATTTAAATAAAGTTCTTATTTTAATACAGGGAAACATATTATCATAAAACTGAAACTGAGATCCTTTCTTGATTCCTGGAAATGTAATCAAAACTTCTTGCACAGATAAACTAATTAGGTGGTTGTAAAGCAATCTGTGAGCTTTAACCATTCTGTACTCAGAGAATTGCAAGGGAGTGCTGTGTGAGGACAGCACATGCACCTCTCATGTCTCCAATACACCCTGTAAAGGACAAGAAAACTGGCATTATTTCAGCTGGTAGACTTTCTTTTAGTTCTTGAAAGCTGTAGCATTTCACTGAATGCAGGGGTTTGCACCTGTACTGTGCTCGTCTGTGCAGTCAGCCTCAGGGTGATTGTTATGAGTCACCATTCCATCAAATCTGGCGGGTGCATTAACAGGATTTGGTTGAACACTGCCCGAACCATGAAGTCAATGTGTGAGGAGGAGCAGCAGAATCCATCACTTGCTGTATTGGGGTTTTTTTGAGCCTTTGTAGCAGATGTTAGCAAGACCTGAGACCTGTGGTTGCCATGGAGTAGAGACAAGGCTGTTCTTTTATCAACAGCCAAGAGAATAATCCTTGTCTGAGCTTCAGGGTGCAGCCAGAATGGGCCAAGTCTGTCCCAGAAGGGCGAGATTTCAAACATCAGAATCTGGTCCATATTCGAGGATGAAAACCTGGGCTGTTCAGTGCAAGCCAGCAAAGCCCCAGCACTGGGCAGCCCCACACCCATCTGCACGGTCTCGCCCAGTGCCTGTCACTGTGCCTGCAGGTGGGGTAAATCTCATCCCTGTTCTTTCCTGCAAAGTCTTTTGCGTTTGTAATAAATTAGTAGTAGAAGTTTAAATTTACTCATCAAATTAGTAGTAGTTGTTTACTCATTAAATTGTATTGCATGTTATATTCTTATATACATATATATGTTATTATAATCAATGTTCTGTTAAGGTTGGGAGACTGTAAATTGCAGAATAATTCATTAATCTATCAGCATTGTAAGTTGATAGTCATGTAGCTTGCAGTTCTTAAACTGGAAAGACAAATTATTGTGCCTGGCTGAATAAATATTTTGTATCTTACTTTTATAAAAAGCTTATTGTCTCATAGCACACTCATAAAGTAATGAAAGGAAGGACAAGAATCAAAGGATCAAGAACGAAAATGATACAGAGTATGCAAGATGGACATCTAGAAACACCTACACACTAAGCAAGGACTAAGGACTAATAAAAACTATGGAAAGGAAAGCACCTGACAACTGAAACGGGCCTGCAGGGAAGCCAACCAGAACCAGACCTGCAAACTCGAATCCAATAGAACGATAACAAGTGACTATGGGAGGGGAACTGATAAGGGAATAAGTTACTGTTTTTGCTTACTGCGCTTGTGTGCCGTGAGTGGAGCAGAGGCCTCCCCGGGTGACCAGCGTGCTGTTTTGCTTATTTGCATTTTTCATAAATCTTCAATATATTTTTATTACTATATTTCAGCCTAATTTTAATTTACTTATAACACGTTTACACGAGGCCAATTTGGATCCCTCTGCAGCATCCTCTGCCCTTTTCGGTGCTGGCAGTTTAACTGATATCCAAGCCAGGCTTTAATCATCAAACAGAGGTTGTTCTGCAAGACAACTCCCCGCAGAGTAACAGGGTGCAGGGTCAGTGCTGTTGCCCTTCACTGGAAGGGAACACCGCTCGGACGTAGAGACTGCTTGCTAGGACGCGGTGGCCTGTCTTCCTCGGTGGCAGGACCATATTTTCCACCCAACGCATGGTTATGGCAACACCCTTGGGAGCGGAGCCCCGAACGGAGTGGCGGGACAGGATGGGAGGGTTCCCGGGCAGAGGCGGCAGTCAGCACAGGAAGAACCGTTCCCTTCTCGCCTGCCTGGGGCGCACCCGCTCCCTCTCTATTTAGAGCGGGCCTGTAGCCCGGTAGCGGCAGCAGCGGGACAGGGGCGAAGGTGAGCGGAGCTCGGCGGATGCGACTGGACGTCTACCAGCGGGATGCAGCCCCGTCGGGGGCCGGAGGTGCCCCGGAGCCTGGGGACGGGCTCGGCACAGCGGGCACTCTTGGGGAGTTGCGTCCCGCCAGCGGAGCGGGCCCGGTCGCCGCACAAGCCAAGCCCCGAAGGGAACACGGGCGGGAGGGGAGGGTGGAGACGGCGGCGAGGGGAGACGGGGAGGGCGGCGAGGGCTGGACGCCGACATGGCCGAACCTCACCTTTCGCCGGCTGCGCCGTGCCTTGCCCTGCGCCAGCGGGCGGGAGCGGCCGCCCCGAGACGGGGCCGCTCCGGCAGCGGATGCCCTCGGTGCCCGGCACTAACGCCCTCCGTGCCTGCGGCCCCGGCAGCTGCCTCTGCACACCCCACAGCTCCCCGCTCCGCTGTGCCCTGCGCTGAGCCAGCCCAGCTACAAAAGCTGGGTCCAGGAGGGTCACTATGGTTTGTCTGCACCCCGACTGTGCCCTCTTACTGAATGCCACAGCCTGAGGGATAGCCCTGCTTATGAAGCAGATGTCTCATTGTTTTAATTGCCCCGGTTATCCCTACCTGCTCTTCATTAGCATGCCTGGGGGCAAATATAATTTTTTATTTTATTTCCAGCCTGTATTTTACTTTCGCTTTACAGGGCAAGAGTGGAAGTTTTCTGACCTTTGAAGTGGTCGATTCTGTAGTTGCCAGTGTTGGAGCTGTGGCTTTTAACTATTTGTGGTGTTGGCCCTGTTGCTGCTGCTGGTGTTATGACTGGTGCTGCTACTTCTGGTTGTGCTGCTGATGCTTTGGCAAATATAAGGGCTTCTGGAAAGAATTCAGGGAATAAGAGAGAGAGCAACTGATGGGCTTTGGGAGAAAGCTCCAACTACAAAATGTGGAAAGAACATCTCTAGGAACAGAATCACCATGACGGTTATCCCCCAGAATCAGACAATTACAGACACAGTTTGAGATTAGGAATTGCGGTTCCTATTGCACGGTTTCACTTTAAGCCTTGCTGTTATTCCCCCCGGGGTGGCATCAACATCTCTTCCCTGGCCAGCGCCATCTTGACCTGCCCACTGAGCCAGCCCCGCCTCTGTTCTAACTCAATTGATCATCTCACCCGTCTCTCCCCAATCCCTTGTCCTCCCTTTTCCCCCATTAGCTAGCCGAATACCCAAGCCACTCCTTTCCCCCGAGCCTTTACCCGATCGCATCTCACTTCATGTTGGGCATCTCTCGCTCGTAAAGTCGTCACTGGTGCAGCTGTCGGTGGTGTGACTGCAGTTGCAGTTATTTTTGGTGCTACTCCTGTTGTTTTTGCTGGTGTTGTTGCTGATGCTGCTGCTGCTGGTGTTGCTGATGCTACTGCTGGTGCTGTTTTGGCTGACAGAGCTCTGAAGGCCTTGTTCTCATTGGCATTAGGGAATAAGAGAAAGAGCAACTGATGGGCCATTTGGAAGACCACTGAGCAAGGCAGGGAGCTCCTGGCTGTGCATCGTCATTGCCCAGTATTTGCCACACCTTATGCCAAAGCTTACCAGCAACTTTGCCCCCTTTCTGTGATAATTATTAATTACAATAAAATCTAAACAAACTCATGTTGACCTAAACTCCTCTTCTGTC